GTGTGTGTGTGTGTGTGTGTGTGTGTGTGTGTCTGTGTGTGTTTCAAGTGCTGAGCGGGCACATTGTGAGCACAAAACATTGGGGTCCTTTTCCTCCTCGCAGGGTTTGGCAGTGAGCACAGCTCCAGTGTCAGACTCATAACACATCTACTAAAGCTGTAATCCACAACAAGTCCCGGCCCGTCAAAACCTCACTGTTTTATCTTACTGCACCATAAGCAAGAAATCAATTCACTTACATGGTTCGGCACTGAAATTTCACGGGACAAATAGCTTTCATTTGCTTGATAAGAGTTACTTCGAAAGCAAGTGAAGGGATGGAACAAGTAGCAAAAGTCTTTCATCTTCAAAAATATTTAATGAGAGTGTGGACTCTTATCAGCCAGTTGCAGACATTCAGGTCAAAGTTCACAGAGAATGCAACAATCTGTTTACATCCACTTTAAAAGTTCAATTTCAAAGTCTGACTAAAATCCTATCAGCGTTTTTTTTGTGAAATCTGACTAACAGACCTAGATAATGCGATCTCAGCTGTGCATGCAGACGATTTAGAAACAACAATGCTGCTTATAGTCTTGTATACTAAACTTTTATGTAGAGTGTATGGGATGACGAAACTAATATTCAAGTTTAAACTATAATTACCATGAAATACTATTGGTTAAAAGTTAAACAAATAAACTACCAAATTAACCTTCATATTTAACAGTATAGATACAAAGCTGAGCTGAAGAAGCATATGAATCACACTGAAATCAAACAGTCACATGGTGTTTGATAAATCTTATCTGAGGACACAGGTCACCGATGAGCTGGAACTTAGTCAATGAACAAAGTCAACATGACCAGTTCATGGTCTCATTTGGTTTCACACACAAAAACATAGTGAAGACCAAGCAGATTCAATTGTGTAACCTTTTTGACCTGTTTGAGACCGTAGATATGCATATCGGCCCATCCAATGTTTGTAATGATACCTTTGTGGTTGAAAAACTCAAAGCATCCGAGACATTACATATCCAGACCTGCATCCATCTACTTTCTGACTGTTATTAAAGTAAAACATTTATATATATTAAAAAAAGCTTTTACTTTGAAAGCTGTATGCCATTCAGACCACAGACACAAAAACATAAATTTATATGATGAAGGCTTCTGAATGGCCTTACTTCAGTTGTAATATATTAGGATGAGGGCAGAGTGGTAAAGATGTTATTAGGGATGCACCGATACCACTTTTTCCAGTACCCTCCCGATACCGATACTTTTATTTTTGGTACTTGCCGATACGGAGTACCGATACCAATATTTTCATTGCATTTGTAAATTTTTAAAATATTGGGTACAGAAACCAAAAGAGTATGTATAATGTTAGTTGGTTAACTTCATTTATCAAATAGATACAGTCAAACCAAAATTTATTCAGACACCTTCAACATTTCTCACATTATCACAGTTTATTCACTATAGTTTAGAAAATGGTAATAAAATATGACAAGAACTCAGAGTTAAACTGTGTCAGAACAAATTCAGCTTGATAATGTCAGATAACTTTAATAGAAAGGTATGTAATGGATTACAATAAACCAAAAATGATTCATACAGCTGTCAATATTTACACAACTATCAATACTTTGTCGGGTGACCCTTAGCCTTAATGACAGCATATAGTCTCCTGGGCATGCTGTCAACCAGGTTCATGCAAACCTGAACTTCAATTTTTTCCCAGACTCACTCTGAATAATTTTTGGTCCCAAATTTGTATCAATTATATATAATATAATATATCACAGTTTAGTTTATTTTGCTATCCTCACTTTACATAAATGAACTATAGTGTCCTGCACCCACTAGTAAAAAAATATCAAAAATGATATCTGGTCTCTGAATAATTTTTGGTTTGACTGTATATCCTTCTGTTATTTTCACACTTAATTATGCCCATTAAAATGTATTTTACAAGTTTTTGTTACTTTCACTG